CACCCCACCCCACCCCACCCCAATTGTGCATATATAATTTCATGACTTACCATGTGGTCTTTCTTAGTGCTTCACAATACTACTCGAATGGCCATTTTGCCTCACCACAACCCAACTCTTAGGCCCCTATACCATTCTCGAATGAGCCACCGTATTTTACTCCAAACCAGCATATATTGCTCCACCACCACAACCCCCGCCAAGCCACGCGGTGATCAAATCATGGTAAATCAACCGTCGGCTCTAGGTCAAAATGTGGCCACTGTTAGTACTCGTCCCGTTCTTAATGACCCAACTTTGCAATCAACATGGACCCACCGTGTTTGGGTGGCAAGTGGCTGCACCACCGTGCTGATTTCTCTAGCAAAATCCATAACCACTGCCATCGATTCACATATATTGATTGAACCCATTTTAGCAGGCTTCATTGGCTATGTACTCGCAGATCTTGGCTCCGGAATATACCACTGGGGCATCGATAATTACGGCGATTCCAGAACCCCATTTTTTGGTAATCAAATAGAAGCATTTCAAGGTCATCACAAATGGCCATGGACAATAACCAGACGCCAATTTGCTAACAATTTACACGCACTAGCACGTGCAGTAACTTTCACAGTGCTTCCATTTGACCTAATCTGCAACGATAATGCAGTTCTGTTTGGATTTGTTGGTGTGTGTTCAGGTTGCATTATGTTTAGCCAGCAGTTTCATGCATGGGCTCATTCTACAAAGAGCAAGCTTCCGGCGGCGGTGGTGGCGCTGCAAGATGCCGGAATACTCGTGTCTCGGTCGCAGCATGCGGCGCACCACCGCCCGCCGTATAACAATAATTACTGCATAGTGAGCGGAGTTTGGAATGAATTTTTGGATAATTCTAAGTTTTTTGAGGCACTGGAGATGTTATTTTTCTTTAAGCTTGGAGTGAGGCCACGTTCTTGGACTGAACCAAACTCAGAATGGACTGAAGAAACTGAAAGTGCGCACCTCTAATTTCACAGCTTTAATTCAAGTATTTCGCCTTTATAGTTTGTGTATAAAATTCAGGTTAATTTCGTGTATTCATACTCACAATAGGGGACACTTTCTTGAAATTTTTTATTCATACGAGTCCCACATGGGTTTCATTCCCATGTGAGGGTCGGTGAAGCAATGTTCTTTCTATAAAGGAGTTCAATTTTATTTTGGTTTATTGGCACAAAACGTCCATACGTTTGACAGTTCTTGTGCAAAACGTCCTTACGTTCCATTTTTTTGTATTTTCGCCCTTATTTCAACGTTTTATTGCGGAAAACGTCATTTTCATTGTTTTTCAATGTAAAATGATCAATATATCATCGTATTTAAATAAAATAAAATAAAAAAGAAAAAGAAAGATAAATTGCAATTATACTCTCAAAATTTTTTAAAAGTGCAAATGAAGTTCAAAAGTCTTATTAAAAGACTTCAGCACAAAACGTCCCTACGTTTGACACTTATTGCGGAAAACGTCCTTACGTTTCAAACTTTTTATACTTGGCTCAATAGCACAAAGCGTCCATACGTTTGACACTTATTGCGTAAAACGTCCTTACGTTTTATTTCTTTTGCTTTTTCGTCCCTATTTCAACTTTTCATTTCGGAAAACGTCATTTTCACTATTTTCAATGTAAAATGACTAATATACCCTTATATTTAAATAAAACAAAAAAGGAAAATTAAAAAAATTACAATTATATTCTCAAACTTTTTAAATAGTGTAAATGAGTCCAAAAGCCTTACTAAAACATTAAAAATGAAAAAAAAATGTTTTTGAACTCATTTGTAGAGGGGGTTGAGATGGTTTGAATGGTGATGGGGTCTGGTGGTTTAGGTGATGGAGGGAGGAGAAGGTTGAGGGAGGAAAAGATGACTGATGGTTTGAATGTTTTAAAAAGGTTTTTGAACTCATTTGCACTTTTTACAAAAGTTTGGGAGTATAATTGTAATTTATTTTTTTATTTTTATTTTCCTTTTTTAGTTTATTTAAATATGAGAGTATATTAGTCGTTTTACATTGAAA